GTTTTCCCCTGTTTTCCATTTTTAGTTTAAACCCTTGGGGAAGGGGGGGGGGGGGGGGGGGGGGGGAAAAATTGCCCTGGCTTTCAAGCTCACCTGAGAAAGAAACGCTCTCCCTTTACCTCCCACCCCGCGAAGAGTTTCCCCTTCGAACCAAGGAGAAGGGTTGTTAAATAACAGCGGGGTTTGTGTGCGCCCAATTTGTGATTCAACAATAACGTACCAGTGAAAATACGACCTGAACATTTAAGTAATTAATTGTTTTATTTATTCTCCTTTACTTATTTTCGCCCCTGGCGTGGAGTTTCGTATTAAAACGGACGGAGGGAAGCCCTTCCCCGAAGGTCCCTGCAGCCACCTCGGACTCACCGAGTCGAATATTGCGATTCCACCCTTGTAGCAACGTGATTTTTCTTCTTCTGTCGGGATTATGTTGCAAACATTCGCAAACCTACCCTTTCTCCAAACCACCGGAATTTGTTAGAAACGTAACGTGCTCCCCTCTCGCTTTCCTTTGAGACCCAGTCGCTCGGCCCTATATATTGTTTACAGGACACAGAAACGTCCCATACAGTTTCCTTCTCGGGGTTAGCGGCCGCGGAGCTTGTTGTATCGGACCCGTTAGGACCTGCCTTGAAATACAGCTACTTTACCGCATATATATATATATACACACAGACACACACACACTAAAAAAAAAAAATTCCCCCGTATATTTTTTTTTACCTCTGCTAATGAGTCCAGTTTCGGCGGCGGGCGGAGGTTGTATTGAATTTTGAGAATTTCCCCGAAAGGCTGAAGTTTCTTTTCGATTGATGTTTTTTCTAGATTTATTTTGGTTTGTTTTGCTCGGCGAAAAGTCCCGGGCGGAGCACGCCTCCGTAAAAAGAAAAATATAGCGGCGGGTTTAATCGCCGACTACATCTGCCGTCCCCAAGCCTGCGCCAAGTGTCCCCGTGAGAAGGGTAGCCCTGCGAGAGGGGTACGGGACTGCTCCTATTTTGCGGGTAAAAAGGGCGGTGCAGGAGGGTGAAACGGGTCGCATCGCCCGGGCTCCCCTGCGCAACGGTTTCGCTCAGGTCTCCTTGACCTGGAAGCCGGCTCTAGCCTAAATCCCACCCAGGACGGCGGGGCAGAGAGCCTGTTCCCGATCCCCCCCCCCCCCGTCCCCCCTGCGAAAGCCGCTTTCCCCAGAGGCGCCAGTCGAGGGACGGGCGCGGTACCGGGTACCTGAGCCGGGAGGGGGGCAAATTTGGGACGGGACGGGGCAAGAGGCCGTGCGGGCAGGGCCGGGG